ATCAGAAGGCTGATGTGTTTTGTCAAAAAATTATGACTGAGTTGTTGAGTGAAAATGTTCCGCTAAGAGTGAAAGAGTGGTATGTTGTTCATAAAGCGGTTTTGTTTAGAAGAGGTTCAGAAGATAATCCAGGATGTAAAATTTGCATACCTGTTGTTTGTGTGTTGGCTTTAGTTCGACAAGAACATGAAGAGAATGGTCATTTTGGCTCTGAGAAGTGTTTTCAAAGTTTGCGAAAACATTATTTTTTTCCTAAAATGCGTCGAATTATCCGTAGAATTGTAGCTGGTTGTATTTTATGTCAGAAGGCAAAAATTTCGCCGCATTTACATGGTGATATGAATTGTGTAGTGCCAAATTCGAAAAATGAAATGGTTTGCGTAGACTTGATGGGTCCATTGCCCAAGTCGAGAGGAGGAGCGGTATTTTTATTGGTATTCGTGGACGCATTTAGTAAGTTGGTGGCATTATATGCCTTAAAACGTGCAACTACGAAAGCCATCCTTCGTTGCCTAGATAAGTATATTCAAAAAGCGGGTAAACCAAAGTGTATATTATCCGATAACGGTAGTCAATTTTCTAGTGATCTATGGGTTACTTCGTTGGAAAAGTTAGAGATAAAAGTGGTACATACCTCTGTGTATTACCCTCAAGGAAATATGACCGAGCGGGTTAATAGAGAGATTGGAAGACTCTTGAGAATGATGTGCTATGAAAAGCATACCAAATGGGCAACTGTTTTAACTGATGTGGAAAGTTGGTTAAATAGAGCTATACACGATAGTACCGGTTTTAGTCCAGAGTTTTTACATTATGGTAAATTGCGAAATATCAATTTTCTTAGGAAAATTGACAATCCTGAACCCGATTTTCTTGAACAGAGTGATGAGGTGAAGATATTTCTTGCTCATGAACGATTATTATCGAAAGCAGAAAAAAGAAAGTTGCGACATAATAATGCCCGACGAATAGTAGAATTTAATATTGGGGATAAAGTACTGGTTCGTACCCACCCTCAGTCATCTGCGGAAAATCGCGAGATAAAGAAATTTTTCTTACTTTTTGTTGGTCCGTGTACTGTAGTAAGTAAAAAGGGGGCTAACTCTTATGAAATTGAAAAAGATGATGATGGGACTCTTCTAGGAATCCAAAATGTATATAATTTAAAGAAGTTTGTTCCTCCTTTACCACTAGTTCAATATTGATTGACACTTTATGTGGTGGTGCAATCAATAGGGGGGTAAATGTGACACGCCCTTCCAATATGTAATCAGTATTCTCTTATTATGTAAGTTAGGTTTACCTAGTTATAGTTAGTGTTAGAAATTTGAATTTGAATCTCGCGCCGTTTTCGTACTGTGATTTCGCGGGAGGACTAAGTTACCGCGAAATGAAGATGTGCGAGAGAGAAAGGGAGACCGGCAACACGAAAAACTCACTTGATGCCGATGCTGGGGGCAAGAAGGAAGGATTGAAGTAAAGTAGTTGATTAGCCCCGAAATAACTACTAATTACCTTCTGTTGTGAGGCATGATAATTGCCATATTATCTGCAAGTGTTTATTTAAGTGAAACTACACATAAATCATCGAATCGATGTCCTGCTGCGATTGTTCCTAGTATGGAAATTTAGAGGTTAATAATACCAAGAATGTTTAGCGCGCCATCGAGGGAATACACCATATCTAGTGCTATTGGACGACTGTGAGTAAACTTTTTGTTATTAAATGAGACTATTTCGTGTTGGGACTTTTATAAACATGAACTTTTGCATAAACTGTTGATGATTCTGTTGCCTATTTGGCTATTTGTCCATCATTTAGTTTAGGGTTTTTCTCCTATTTGTTTGATATTAAATGAGTTGTAAAATTTGTGACAGTCTACTATTGAACCCCCCTGAAGATTAAGAAAAAACCAAATACAGGTTTTTTACAACCTGTAGTTGGCCAGATTTATTTTATTGGTGCCTGTCATGTATTGATGACGATGATCTGAATGTTGAAGAACATAACGTTTTTAATGGATGTGTGATGTATTTCTCAGGAAACGAAACAGATAGACAACCTGGGGTGGTTTTGAATAACCCTCATTTGTTACGCTATCAGTCTTTATGGCCGATTTTGTTCATTGATTCATTGCATGACTATGAAAGACCAACCCAGTAATTTTTTTGCAAATATATCCCTCCAAGGTCGTTATCCAGTAAATCCCCATGTCACGACTATGTCGCGAAACAGTTAACTTTTCCGCTGACTTTTGCGTTATGAATAGTCATAACATCAAAAAACAAACTAAATATTTGTGCTAGATACGAAAGTTCAGTATAATGAATGTTTTGCCCTGCTGCAGATTTCATGCATCATAAATTCAGCCATTATGTTGTGTCTCGGGAAATAAACAGAAATACTTTGTATATCATTGTATCTCTAAGTAATTAAGGCACGTGTGAGATTCTCAATGTCACAAAGTTATAGTGCGGTACTAAAATGGCCAGTCGTTCAAACCGATATTCCAAATAATATGGTAATAGCCCAGGAAAATGTATAATTACAGCAGTTTTCATATACAGGGTGTAACTGAATAAGTGTAAAACATTTAAGGAGATGATTCCTCATCGAAAAAAAGATAGGATCTTTCATATAAAGAAACTTCATTGGAGCATCCCTTGTTAAGATACAGCCCCTTAAAGGGGGTACATAAAATTTGTATAAAAATTTTTTTCACAAACACTGAAAAAGTTACAATATTGAAATTAACCTGACGTTTTGTACTACCAAAAAGACACTTAGCCAGTAATTTATTTGGTTTACCCCATGGTTGTAAGGGGTGAAAAACGCAACCCCTAAAATTTATTTCCAATGTAACTTTTTGTCTTATTATTTGTTTTCCATTTAAAAATTTATTTCCGATAGCCTGTTTCATTCTAAACAAAAAATGTCTCTTGGGTTTTTTGCCCAAAATAAACCAGTAAGCAGCAAAACATTATTTTACGAACAACTACAGAGATACATCGTCATAAATGCGAAAATACGAAACTAATCTATCTAGTAGGTCGCTATTAGCGATAGTGACAATTAAATTGGTATGACGCTGTCAGGTTGATTTCAATATTGTAACTTTTTCAGTGCTTGTGAAAAAAATTGTTATACAAATTTTATGTACCCCCTTTAAGGGGCTGTATCTTAACAAGGGATGCTCCAATGAAGTTTCTTTATATGAGAGATCCTATCTTTTTTTCGATGAGGAATCACCTCCTTAAATGTTTTACACTTATTCAGTTACACCCTGTATATGTTATTTTTCAGGACACACTTAGAAATTATAACAAAATTGACCATTTCTTCACCTGAAAAGCACTGACTTTGAATATGCTCCATCTTATTAAATTGATCACATTTGATGTGGGGTTTAGGATAATTTTCAAAGAAATGATCTCCGTTACAATTACACCAAACTGATTGGTTGCCTTCGGCACAAAAGTTTCCCCCACATTCGATGTTGAAGGTGTATAGTCGTATCAACATTTTCAAAGGATTTATTAAAGTTCGTGAAATTCAAATAGTTCGCTAATGCAATAACACTAGGGAAATTTGCGACCCTACCAGATAGTTGAATATTTTCATCTGTTATGTCCTCAATAACACAATCAATCAAATATTCATCTGAAATCGACAAGTCCAGTTTATTCAGTTTCGCAACTTTCTCAAAACGATAGTCACTCAAATTCTGCCCCGAAGAAGGCACATAATTTGCTGGTTGGATTAACAATTTTCCAAATCGCACTGACGAAGAAAAGTTCGAAATTAGACAATTTTTCATTGAGTTCTAATCAAAATACGGAATCATGCCAATTTCTGGCATTGTCCACCGACGTATTATCTGAACTGTTAGTAGTCATATACCAGCAACCCGAAAATATAGGGTCAGTTGCTCGCCTGAAAACGCTTCTGCTCAATACGCAGGAACCTCCAAGTTGTCGTTCATGACCTTGACGTGGCATCGAAATCAACCTAGCATCCATTTTGTTCGTAGGCGGCGGCAAGGTGGATGATGTCTTAACTTTGTGTTTGTTTTCGTTTTATTTTCGCCAATCCTAGGAAATATGAAGTGCTTTGTTCTTTGGTGTGAGAATTTCACGATTGAAAATACTGAAGATGTTTCTTTTCATCGGTGTGTTTGTGGGTAATGGATAATGAACATCAACTCCAGTTGATGTTTGATGGCGTGGTCCTTTAGACAGATCGCTACATGTGGTGGTGGAGGGAGTATCTTCTATTATAGATCAAGAGATGATGACAGGTTACAATCTCCCATTTTACAATGAATGCCTTTTTGAGGCTTTATAATCAACCCCATAATATGAAAAATAGAAATGTTCCTGGCCGCCGCCCGTGTGCACTACATAACTACTACACTACACTACACCACAATATATTTTTTTGCAAAATCATCAATGATATCATCAGTCTTTTGTGTTCGTTATGTCTGGTTCTTTGCATAGAGGGGCGAATAGATTAGAGTTCAGTTTTTCTTGAGATAACATAAAAAACTCCAGAACAACTTGTGGGCTATGCAGAGATCTATGTCCAATTTCCTTGATTGATTCCTCGAAAACGTGATGAAGATCTAATAATTATGTAGTGTCAGGTTTTTTACCGTCTTATTAGAGGAAACTAATTTTTACTGTGAAAGTGAACACATTCCTGGACCAAATGGTCCTCTAACTAAATCGATGTTATGAAATTACACGAAATATTCAGGTTTTTTGTGAATTTTTGTGTTGCTTACAAGAGTAAGGACGATCGTCAAGCGAGAGGGGACCCAACAAAAAATAACCTGTATCATGAGGTTAGTCCGTTGTATCCACAATTACCAAAGCGTGGGATCACTGCCCCTAATAGGTCGCGTCCTATATGGCCTATTGACAAATCCAGGACTGCATACTAGTTCTATAATATACTATTTTCATTTTTTATAGTACATATTTTCCATTTATTACAGACAATACTCCAGGCTTGATAGGCTTACCACCTAGTAGATTAGGAAGGGATGAACCCATGGACGACAAACCTGAAAGAACCACCACCCCTGACAGGGTCCATCACCTGTATGGTCACGGGGTCTGTAGGTGGCCTGGATGTGAAATTATCTGTGAAGATCTCCAAGCATTTATAAAGTGAGTGAATCTTTTCTATATCATGTTTGTTCAACTTGACTAAAGTCTGAATTTAGAGAAAAACTTCTGAATTATTCAGAGAACAGAGTCGGAATTCACAGGAAGAAGTCTGAATTCAGAGATGAAATAAAATACACAAAACAGTTATCTTTTCTATTTAGGGTGAGTCAGTTTTTTGTAGCAGGATTTTAACAGCTGAGAGAAACAAATTTTTCAAGATTAAAATTCTATATAAACATATATATGGGTGTTTTTTCAATTTCTTCCTGCAATTCTCGAAATAATGAATTGACATTTGGTACACCTATCACACTTTGGGAACGTAATATTTGGCGCTGTCGAGCGTTCCTGAATACCTACAGGGTGATATACTTTCGAGAGTCGTACACTCGTACTCGAGTTAACCCACTCGAACTTCTTTGCGTATCGTTTCTGTTCCCTATGAAATATCAATTCAGATGTTCCCTTCAATTTGGATACTTTTTGTTCCCCTTTGTTTTTTCGAAAAATGTATGGGTTTCAAGATAAATTCCAAAAATGATTCACTTGTAATGAAACTTTATTTTTCGAGTTCGTATTTAGTAGCAGGATTTCAACAGCTTGAAAAATACATTTTTTATGAAAATCTACATGAAAACCTCATCGGGGATTCGTTTCCGACATACAGAGTTCCAAAGTTTGTTATTTTTCTTGTGTTCTTCAAGTATTCTCCTATATTTATTGAAATAATGAATTGGATACACCTAGTACACTTTGGAGACGCAATATTTGAGGCAAACGAGCGTTCTTGAATACCTACAGGGTGATACACTTTTGGGGTCGTGCAAACTTTGAAACTCTGTATATCAGTAACGAAGCTCCCACGCATTTATGTTCATAGAAGATTTTCATCGTGAAAAAATGTCTCCTTTAAGCTGTCAAAGTCCTGCTACAAAACACTGATTCACCCTGTATACGCTTCCGTAGGTTCCATATAAAATAGTACAATTCGAATTTGAAGCAACTTTTCAAAAAATACATGTCAAGAAATATCACTAATTGAATATTCGAGTATGGAGAATACCTGGCAAGACTCGGCAATTTGGTCTATAGTAAAATAATATAGAAATAATCGGTATAGCTATTTATATGGCAAAGAAAGCAACAAATTTTTTAGATCAATCTTCATATCGGAACATTAATTGGGAACGAGTACTATTTTTTTTTTTCATGTTTCACGTGATGTTGTTTTGCGAAATATACACTATTTTGACTGTTATGAGTCGCTCCTCTCCGTCCTTAGGTAGGTAATTGTCTGGATGCCTTAGTGTCATCAACAACTCCACATGTTGTAACGGACCTCAATTGATTTTTCTACTTATGCAAATGAAAAGGGTTTCCAATACAACTTGATGAGACCTCCTCTTATTTGAAATAGTGAAGAAATTGCTATACTATTGACTATGCAGTGGTCAGGGTGATATCGCGTATCTCGTATAATTTCATAATAAAGACTAGTTCAAAGATTTATACTAGTACCTAACCCTCCACTTTTTCTTTATTGTTGATGAAAATAAACAATTTCCTTCATCTTGAGAGATAATTATCATTAAAATTTTGAACAACTGATTTGAGCAAGAGATTGAAAAATAATATTACATTGTGATAAATCTCTTCTTCGAAATAATTGTCGGAAATGGATGCGATATTTGCTAGGAAATTTGGAATCTCGTCAAAAATATCAAATTATTATTCATCGGCAAAAGAAGTTCATCGAAATGGTTCTTGGTACGAAACACATTATATTCTAATAGTATCTACTATTAGGTCATTTGTACACTGAAATAATAAAGAGCTCAGCCAGAATATTTCACCTTCAGAAGGGGGTCATCAAAAAACCAAAAAGGAGAACAAAAAAAAATCCGATAATTGTTCAAAATGCTGTCCAAAACGTCATTATTGAATCGATATTCATATCACATAGGTGCGGATAAGGAGAAATGGAAATGAAATTTGAATAAATATTGATGCATGAAATTACACCATGTAGTAACATTTCATTTAAAAAATTATGCAGGATCCAAAATTGCAATGATATTCAATTTGTATAGAAATTGTGACAAGAAAAATGTTCGTTTGGCCTATGCATAAATAAATGGCCTGAAAAAGTCTCACACTGTATAATAAATGTTCGGCCAGTTCATGTTTGTTTACCCTTCGGATCTTCCAGAGTTATCGATGTCTGCCCATAAATTCCCAATTTATCTGGAAAACTATTAGGTAACATTGTAAAAGCCCGCCGGACTATAGGACTTAACCATCATTTAGTAGAAAGTTTTCTTTTTATGTCGAAGTAGAGTAATAAAACTGGATAATTACTTTGTTTTTGTTTTATTTTCGAGTAGGAAATGAGGGAGATTCATATTCTTAGTTCGAGATATTCGAAAGAGTATTGATTGGAAGATAATGCATCATTTTATAGCAGATACGCTGCATGGGTGGATTTTATGTATTTATTTGATTTCCATTTACTACAAGGAAATATTTTACTTAACATAAAGTTGAATTTCAATAAAGAGCAGCGAAAACTTGCATACCATATATGGAGTGTTTCGAAATTCGACCGACAACGCTTGACAGGTATCATGTTTACTGAGGTAGGGACATACGGTCTTGAGGTGTCCAGTTCTCGAGATACAGGGTGTTGAAGTTGAGAAATGAAAATAGATTTTTCGCAAAAATGATTCAATATTTTGCATTCAAATTCGGTATATGGTTTCGTCTTTGAATGGGTCATTTCTTCACCGGGAAGTCATTCCGGACATTTTATCCAGTGGGGAGATACAGGGGGTTGTGGTTAGTTTTCCTCCGAAAATGTTTACGACACTGATGAAATTTCAATAATTTGCGATTTCAATTCAGTTCAAAATATGCATCACCCTCAACTGAACTGAAATGAACAGTTTTCGAGATGATTGACCCAAAATGGAAGTTTGCATAGTAATGTTTCATCATTTTCAGTAGTATAGAAAATCACAAAAATATTTTTCTGACGGGGAGTAGTTCAGATACTTTTCAGATCTCATTCTTTGCTCAACAAAAATAGTTATTTCATGCAGAAAGACAAAAGAAACAATTTTATAATTTTTTACTACTGAAATTGATGACAGCATATATTATGACAAGTCGTTGTTAATAAATACCTACTAGATTTAGGTGTCATTCCTGCGAATGTTGCATAGGAACAGTGAATTCGGGTTAATTAAAACAGAGGTGGCTATGTCTTTATTGACTACCCAGCGAGCACAAACATCCCTGGGATGTTTTGGGATGTTTTGAAAATGTTGGCATGAAGATGTTATTTTGAGACGTAATATGCACTGACCAAAGAGGTCTTTGAAGGATATTGAACTATTGTTTTTGTTCTTCTGTGGCATTTCTTTGTTTGCCTACTGAGAGGTATCCCTGGGATGTTTTGGGATGTTCTAGAAATGTAGGCATGAGGATGTTTTTTTGAGGCGTGATATGCACTTCCCAAAGAGGTCTTAGAAGGATATCGAAAGTATTGTTTTCGTTCTTTTGTGCCCTTTCTTTGTTTGCCCCACCACAACGTCTCATGCTTACGTCACAATACGATGAATTCTGATTTGTTTTCGATTTTGTTCTTCTTGTTCGCAATTGGCATTCGCGTTAACAGCGTGTCACGCTTACATCACGCTGCTAACGAACAGAAAGGAATTTGGTGAAGTTCATTGTGTTAGAAGACTTATATTTAGTTTGTAATAATAACCATCAGATGCAAGATGTGTTGTTCGGTGCCTCAGTGTAATCAATATATAAAAGTACGAATTTATCAACACACAGCTTCTCCGCAGTTGCAAAATTATGCATTGTGGAGAACATTTCAAAAATTGGGAAACCTATTTCCAATTATATGTCTGTGTGTAGTAAGCACTACTCAGAAACCGATTAAGAAGGTTATTTCATATCAAGAAAATATTTTTATGTTCTATCTATTTTTAATGCATTTTTTCATTCAAGGGAAATGGAATCCTAATGCAAAAGTTCATTTTGACAAAAGGCTTCAGAAAAGTACCCTGAAAATGTTTTTTTTACAGCGATTTAATGTGCGCAAGACGCGTTGAAAATGTTTTGTTGTGTCCATGAAAAGGCTTTAAAAAGAACTAGGGAGAAGGTAGTTTTGTGACAAGGACATCTCGATAATTGCCGCCTGCGGCGGACATTGGCTGTTCTATAATAGTTCTATTCATGTGTGAACAGAACATCGCAGTGGAGGCTCAATGTCTCGAAATCTCGTTCTTTTAACATCTCTGAGATGTTTTTGTGCTCGCTGGATAGTGGTTCATAAAATAACGAAAACTACCTTGGTATTAAAAACACACTTTACGCCTTGAAAAGAAGTGAATAATGGTAGGTATTATAGCTAGTAGTGGAAAGAATTAAATATCTCAGTTTTGGGTATTCTATATACGATAAAAGTAGAAAGAAAACTTTGATTGATATATCTTTATCCATATCTTTTACTTAAGATTGCAAATAGACAACATTTCGAGGAAGTGACTGTGAAATCTGAGGGACCCTAATGAAACTAAACGACTTGAAAATTCCATGGTCGGCCTAAGGTATTTTTTTAACGTTTTCTTTCTATTTCTTTCCGTAGGTTTACCCTCTGAAATATTCGTTCCTAATTTTATGACACCCTGTGTAGATATCGAATAATTACCTATTACTTTTTAAGGAACACCCAAAACCACAATAAAATCTCATGACTATGATAGTTGAAAGAGATGAATAATGAGTAGGTACCTCAGTTGCTTTAGTCGATATAAAAATATAGCTTCGACGCCCACATCAATTTCAGCTTATAAGTTCTGCATTTCATGAGGTGATTAATTCGCGAAAGGAAGAGAGATTAACTAAACCATCAAATTACAATATTTTGTCTCCTCGTCTTCGAACGACAAAAGAAAAGGCGACCTGGAATACATTAAAGAAGACATCGCGGTTTAAAAACTCTAATTACGCCATGTTTAATTAATATGCAAGGCGTTTGATCGCCACGTTGCCGGATTTGATGTTAATCTCGCGAGAGGTCTTTATTACTTCCTTCGGTCGAAAGGGGAGATTGTAGAGGGTGATTCGCGATAGAATGTATTGCTGCCTCACTGCTCCAGAAGACTTACACGGAGAGAAAATATTGATTGAATCAACAGAATATATTCGGTAGAGATTCAAAATATGAAATCAAAGGGGACTGGAATGTTTGTTTGGATTTATATCAGGGGGTGCATCTGCGTATACACACTGATAAAATGTCAATTATAGTCAACTCCTGATTAATTTAACTGTAACAAGCACATTTTTTGCACTGAATTCAACATTGAATATTTGAGCGATGACTGATGCACATATTCGGATGCGCCTTTCTTCATTTCGTAAATGAATCCATTGAGTAAATGATAATTAGACCGCTGATGAAAATACATGGTGACACAGGGTTATACGAAGTGAGAAAAAAAAACTCTGCAATATAATATTTTGAATGATTTTTCTTGTTTGTCTCACTAGATGTCACCATGAAATTTCATCAGCGGTCTAAATATAATATACCTAATGAATTTAACGTATTTATCTTCAAAATTAAGGAAACCGCATCCGAATATGTGATATTGAAGTTTTCATTCAAACAGTAACTTGATTGAACTGAATTTCTCCTATGTATTTACTTTTTCGCCAGCCTGCTGCCGGCGCCCATATTGTCACTATGACAAAATGTTTTGTTACTCTGGAAAACATTTCTCAACAAATAATTTTACTTTCCCATTTATTGTGTATATGTATACACTCAATATCTTGTCATAATGACGAAACTTCTGTTGTAATAACATGATATTTTGTCGTGGACATAGAACAAAATAATGTTTTGATTCAATGAATATTTTCTGTCCATGTATACACATTCGGCAATTCATTAAACTGACGATCTCAGTGTGTTAGCTCACTATCTTTATTCGATTTACCATGACCAAGAAATGAAAGGAACAATTAGGAATATTAGGATACGCGAAGAACTTTACGACCAACAAGTGAACATTAAAATTGGTTGGGACACCTGCGCAGTATGTATCCACATACTTCGATCTTGAAAAAAAACATCATTGAGATAGCGAATCACCATCAGCCTGAACAGTAAATGCCTCTGCACACCACACAATCGTAACTTTCGAAAATTTCAAATATCTAAACACTAAATTTTCAATAGCCTGCTCCTAGACGTAAATGACGGTTGTTGCGGTTGCTGGTGTTGTTCGGGTATTTTCGTTCCTGGAGTTTGCCAGAAACGGTGCCTTTTTTCCCAATGAACTCAATATAAACACCTGGAAGGAAGACGGCCGTTCTCTCGAATAGCACAAAGTGTGTCAGGGGCAGCTGCAACAAAGATAGCATGTTTTTTGGTAACCTGTCTCTTTCCTACTCGTGTTGTTTAATGGTGGATTGGTGTTTACATTTTCTTTTATCTAATAATTAAAGTACTCTAGATTTTTTCTCTCATCTGAACAGGCAAGAAAGTGAAGACATAGGTTCATTGTCTTTGGTTATGTCAAATTTCTATTCATTTGGCGTGTTTTGTTTTATCAAAAGGACTGAATCTGTTGGTGTGAACACTGTGAACTGATTGTTGAGAAGGTTTGTGATTTCATATTGATAAACAATGGTGATTTATTGTGTCGCCTTTGTGCAAGAACGAGCAAGACAAAAGGAAATTGTCATTCCATTGTTCAGATTTTTGGAAAATATAGTCCTTGAAATGATCATCAGTTAGGTGTACAATGTTCCCAGTCCCAGAATATGTTCAAAAACTATACCTATATCATTTGTCAAAGTTGAATACTTGACTTTTCCATAAACATATTAGGTAATATTATGTGTTGCAGTTTTCCATTCAGACATTCTTGAATAATTATGGACTAAGGCAGTTCGTAGAGAGAATTGGACTCCATATATCTAAAACCAGCAAGCTTTGTGGAGAGCATTTCCTGTCAAATGATTATTTATTTCGACATACCAGGTACTGCTAGGTTATTGAAACCAGATGCTGTACCCACCCAGTATATTTTCATTTCCTAAGCATTTGTTACCAAAAAATGCTGATCCTCCCAGGAAAATAAGAAATTGATTAATAATGAAAAAAGTATGTTTGCACCTCTTTAAAATAAAAAAACTAGCTAGTAATTTATTTTCAGGATGCATCTGTGGACGTTCATAACTTGGTTCCTAAGGAAGATGTTTGACTTTGATTTGCCTAAGACTTCCATCTCCCAAGTTTCGAAGTCCATCAATAAAGAAACCCAAACTTTTTCATTGGAGAAGGATTTTGTATTGAGAATTGTATTTTTCAAATTTCCAATAGGGATATGTTTGTTGGTAGTGACCTAATGGAAAAATTAGACCCTATGGAAATTATGCTCAAAATGGACCCTAGGTACTCAATACCATTCAAGAACCTCTTATCAAATGTTTCCTATCGTTTTTCTTTTTCTTCTGATAGTGCTGAGACATTGTGCTTCGCTCACCCTGTACAATATATCGTGACATTTGAATGAAAATATATAATTTCGATTTTGTATTCGTTTGACTTCTTAATCCTGTAAGAATAAAAATGAAATTTCATTTTTAAGTCAATAAAAAATAAATCAATAATATTTTTTTTATGATAATTGATTGCAACATTATCCTTTTTCCTAAATGAATATCTATATTTAATCACGTTCACTCTCGAATTGAAGCAAAAAACGAGAAAATATTTCAAATAATGCGAGCGCTTCCCATTAGCCAACAAAAGATAGAAAGAGATAGGTATCCGTAAACACTGCGGGTTGCCTGAACAATATTTTTGTCTCACTCGTCGTTCACAGAGGGTCCCTTCCAGGTGTTTATATTGAGTTCATTGTTTTTTCCAGGCATTTAAACACCGAGCACACGCTCGACGACCGCTCGACCGCGCAGGCGCGCGTCCAGATGCAGGTCGTCTCGCAGCTGGAGCTGCAGCTGCAGAAGGAGCGCGACCGGCTACAGGCGATGATGCACCACCTGCACCTATCGAAGCAGTTGGGCTCGCCGGAGCCGCATAAAGAACCGGCAACGCTGCCGGTCGCCAAGATGGCGCCGGGGGCGGCGTTGCCGCAGCCGCAGGTCGGCATGGGCCCGATGGGGGCCGCCGTGCGGAGTCCGGTCCTGCACTCACCCGCTTCGAATGTCGCGGGGCCCATCAGGAGGAGGTTGAGCGACAAGTCGGCGTTGTCTTTGGCTGGAGGTGAGTCATTCATATATATATATTTTTATACAGGGTGTTGCGAAGTCGACCGACTACGCTTGACAGGTGATAGCCCTCGTGATTTCATAATCTGCGTTGTCGGTCGAATTTCGCAACACCCTGTATATATAGCTGATAAGTTGGACTGTTGAAAATTCCAAACTATATTATCTGTGGTGAGATGGCAAAACCAGATAGTTATGTCGTTTTTCTCCAGAAGAATAATAATTGTTATTCTTGAATAGTTGTTTGAGAAAATGTATAGTCCAAGTATGCAAAAAATATTACCTGGGTAGATAGGTTTATATTATTTAAAAAAAAGTCAACATATCTTCACTTGAAAATTCTATATTATTAAATACTGTCTGTAGGTTAATCGATGAGGTGGTACATTCATTATTCCAAATTTTTTGGGATTTTCTCTCCTCGTTTCTATAAAAAATAAAAATATGAATATTATTTCAATATACGTGTAGTAAGGACAAATCAGATGATTTGCCCCAAAATGTCACTGCGTTTAAAGAATTTTCCTACCAGAGAGCCTAAAAGAAAAATTCACTAGCTTGTCAGTGAAAATTTGTATTGGAAAATTTTTGGAGAAGAGAAATAAAGGTATATAGAAAAAATATCAAATTTTTACTTATCTTTGGACGTTTCGGGACCGATTCTGCTCTCGTTTTCAACATAAAGAGATTTTTTCAATTGCGAAGTCGTATTATATGTCTTGAAGCTTTTCAGTTTTCAATGACAATTGGTGGCGTTGGCAATCAAAGGAGTTACAGGATGTTTTCATTAATTGATCTTGAATTTACCATTTTCATGTTCAGATTTTAGTAGTGAATACCATGTTCTGTCTATATCAACTGAACAAGAAGCAATGCTATTGTCTCCGTTCAGAAGAATGCAAGCAGATTCCTCTTGATTTTTCTCTTCTGGTTGTTATCTTCTTTTCCAATGATTTTAATATTATTCCACCAAGAGACCTCTTTCAGTAAGGACGAAGGAACATAAGTACAATATAAAGAAAAGAAACATCGATAAATCGAAACTAGCTGAACATATCCTTACTGAAGACGGACAACATATGGCAGAGTGGAATAATATCAAAATCATTGGAAAAGAAGATAACAACCAGAAGAGAAAAATCAAGGAATCTGCTTGCATTCTTCTGAACGGAGACAATAGCATTGCTTCTTGTTCAGTTGATATAGACAGAACATGGTATTCAATACTAAAATCTGAACATGAAAATGGTAAATTCAAGATCGATTAATGAAAACATCCTGTAACTCCTTTGATTGCCAACGTCACCAATTGTCATTGAAAACTGAAAAGCTTCAAGACATATAATACGACTTCGCAATTGAAAAAATCTCTTTATGTTGAAAACGGGAGCAGAATCGGTCCCGAAACGTCCAAAGATAAGTAAAAATTTGATATTTTTTCTATATACCTTTATTTCTCTTCTCCAAAAATTTTTCAATACAAATTGTCACTGACAAGCTAGTGAATTTTTCTTTTAGGCTCTCTGATAGGAAAATTCTTTAAACGCAGTGACATTTTGGGGCAAATCATCTGATTTGTCCTTACTACACGTATATTGAAATAATATTCATATTTTTATTTTTTATAGAAACGAGGAGAGAAAATCCCAAAAAATTTGGAATAATGAATGTTCTATATTATTTATTACTCGAAAAAAGGTATATCATATAGTGGGTAAAAGTGTGTATGTCAGAATATTTATTTTTGCCATCTCTCAAGCCGATACCCCATATTGAAAAAGTCATTGTTATTTTGTTATATGTGTCAACATAATATGAAGTCGATCATACTTCAGAATCATCATTGAGGCGCAATATCATTTATGTGGTTATGTCAAAGTCAGAAAGAAAGAAAGAAAGAAAGAAAGAAAGAAAGAAAGAAAGAAAGAAAGAGCTATGACACAAATGGTTTCACCATCTTATAAATCTCATTATTACGGATATAATATGAGGTATAAACACTCAAGATGGCAAAATTTTGACATAATATATGGTGAAGCCATCTCATACTCAAATTGTATCTCTTGTCCGAAGGAGCTAACTACAACTGCAGATGAACCTCTGCTTTTGACAAAATGGGGTATCGCCAAAAAATAATTATAGATAATGCGAATACTCTTAACAATCACAATTTCTTACACGCTGCTTTCTCAGGCTTACCATACATGCTCGAAAGAGCTGGACTAGACGTACAACAAGGTATTTAATGAAGAAATAATGTGTTATTATTTGTTTTATGTTCATTAATATACGAGGTGTTTCAGTTTTATCCACCGAATTTCAATAGGTCATAGTCATCATCAGAATAAGAAATATAGATTCATAATCATGTCAGAACATCTGTTGTTTTCGCTATGCATGTGTTGTTTCATTATTATATTGCAAACTCATTCCAATTTGTCGCAAACTTGATGGCTTGGGAATACCTACATCTTCAGATGAAATTAATATCGCATTATATAGCGAAAACGATGTATCTTCAGACTTACTTTTTATTTTGATGAGTATAATGCTCCGCAAATGAAAAAATAGGACAATCCAAATTTTTTAGAATAATTCACTCGAGTATGCCTACTTATTTGAATAAATCAGTTCACTTTTCAGTACCAAAATATCTGGATGATTTACACCAATATAAAAGTAGGAATTGCACATGACAACGGCATTGGTTTCTTGTATAACCTATATCCAAACTTGAAAATATTTCCAGAAATCCAAAGAAATAGGGAATTCTACAAGAATGCTGATGTCAGACCCCCGTTCACATATGCTTCCTTGATTCGACAGGTAAGTCAGAAACTTCAAAAAGTGACATGATAATAATACGTTTCTCTTTCTCAATAAAATTGCAGTCCATAATTGAGTCTCCCGATAAACAGCTGACGCTCAACGAAATTTACAATTGGTTCCAAAATACCTTCTGCTATTTCCGAAGAAATGCCGCAACATGGAAGGTATTGTGCCGATTCATACTTTACCTCAAAAATAAACAAAAATCGTGAAACATTTCATGATGCTTCATGCCGAAAATACAGATTTATTAGAAGTAATCGATAATTTATACTGATATTTGTTCACTTTTAAGCCAATAGTGATATCTATCTTTTGGTAAAGTATTTTTCTGTGTTTAAAAGTTTAAGTCATTTTCAGGTTCAATCTAGGTACATGCTTTTAGCTTGCATGAGTGTATATTTTATTTCATGAAATTAACGTCAGATTTACCATACGCTTCCGTTTAATTCATAACTTTTTTACTCATGATAGAATAATTTTATTTTGATCTTATTTACTAGAAATATAGCCTTACAAATACGAAATTATATTGAAATATTAGTATCCTTACTCAATTTTGTTATAATTTATCACTGAAGATGAATCTAATGGTGGTTTTCCTGGAATAGTATAACGGATCTTTTTGAAGTTATTTTCATTTTCAGTGCTACTGAGTAACAGATCATCGTTTACACCTTAATTTTTTTCAGTAAGGTTCCTGAATTATTAATAAGAAATGAGATCAATAAACCGAGTGTTTTCAAAGGTGCGGCATATCCAGCATTAGTGAAAGATTTTCGGGCGTGATTTCGCCCACTATGCCTTTTAGAGGGTATCATTATGTTCATATTCTGATAATAAAAAATGCATTCTAGCATGTTTTCAAGATTAATATGTATTTGGACATGCGCAAACGGTATCCAATTTTTTCTGTAGCTTATATACATACCTATAGCACAAACATGTATACTTCTTAGAGGCAGCCTGTTTGAGAACGAGAAAAAAATATTTTTTTTAATACAGCCTTTGTATTTTCAACTACGCATATCACTTATAAGTATTTCGATTTGGAACACAGGTATAGCGTGAGTGAAATCGTATCGAAACGCTGAATTTGCGAAAATGTTGATTAACTTCAATGCATGAAGAACTCTGAAGGATTCTTTCATGCACCATTTTTTAACATCAAAATATATACATAACGATACCCTCCAAAAGGCATACTGGGTAAAATCACGTCACTTCCGTCCATTGGTAAAACTGGCTCGCACTGAGTGCATATTTTGTATTCCATTGGTAAAACTGGTGTCGGGTTTGAATTCCATTGGAAAACTGGTTCACATAGTTTAGAGCTCAGTGCAACAATTCTCGCACGAGCTCTAATAGGTCGTGCGAAGTCAGTGCAGTTTGAAAATGCCGGAAACATTGAATATGAATAGTTTGAGAACCAAATTGTTAGTGGCAATCCACTCATCATCATCAAATAGTGATGAGAAGTTCGAACGATTGCAGTTCCAAAACTATCGCGATCAGGTCAGATCCGGCATAACAATTAATAAAGACTATATTCCGTATTCAACTGGCAGTACTGAATCTGCTGATTTTTTATTCCGAAATCAAAAAAATTCACTGAAAGTGACAGATACTTGTGAGCAGACATACTATTAATTCCGAATATTTCGACTCAACATTCTGCTGAAATTGCTGACTATCAATTCAGTAAACTGTCATTATTTTAGAGGGAGAAGGAAATGTTACATTTATTTCCGTTGTTTTATCAATGATAAATTAATAATATCATTTTTGATATCAGAATAGGCATTATTATTGAAAAATTGACGCTGAGAATAACATTAACGAGAAACTATACATAAGTGAGGACCTGATGACAACTGACAAAGTCCCCCAGTCAGCACGTCGTTAACCTTGAAAAATGTCGAACAACACTACCAAATTTCGTTCATCTATAGAACGGCGGAGCTATTTGGAATTCTTCGCCAATGGAAGTATTCCCAATAACTTATAACCTCCAAAAGTTGAAAAAAAATCCAACACCTCCACTCCCTGTCCTCCCTGGGAACGCGCGATGTTCCACGAATATGTTCCGAATCAGCAATGAATTTTTGATTGTATATTTCGGAACACATATTGTTAGCGGAATCATTGGATATACTGACAGTACTGACCAGTTGAATTCGGAATATAGCCAAAATAATCAATTATTGTTGATATCCATTCTGATCAGTTCTACTTCTTATTGTAAAAGGTGCCTCACCTTGACAACACTCTGTATACTAGGAAAGTCGTACAAGATATCTTATCTTCTTATCCAATATTTAACCTCGACGCAAAAAGTTAGGGTCTATCGTAGTGTAAACACAGCGACAAAAGCTAGTTAGCAGTATCGTATTCGTAAGGCTATACTCCTGTTGTCAATGGCGTAGCTTGCCTCTGACCGACAGTGGCGCCTTTTTGTTTATTTGCCGGTGTTTGATTTGTTGTTAGAACGCAGTGCGCCACAACCTATCTCTCCACAAATGTTTCATGCGTGTGGAGAACGTTAAGGGGGCCGTCTGGACAGTGGACGAAGTGGAGTTCTACAAGAGGCGACCTCAGAGGTGTTCTTCAGGGCCGCTAGCCCAACCAGTCGTTGGGTACGTCACCGAGGACCAACATTTTTTCTCTCTTTTTGTACATTGTGTGTTTTGTGATTTTTTACATCTCTTTTTTAATCTCTTTTTATATATCTCTTTATATAATTACCCTTTTTACCATTAACAGTGTGGCGAACGTACGCGAACGTAAGAAACTGACCTTCAGCTCGGCCTATTATGACAATGAGTACATGAGTTTATGGAGGTAAACTCAGGTGGAGGTATGGCCCACATACTCAGGTGACACATCTACATGAAAAATGACAATATGGAGAAGTAGATTCGGGTAAAATATCGCCTTACCCAATAGGATCTGAGCTTTAGAATTAATATACATACTAAAAAGCTTAATGCATTTTGACTTCACCTATTGTGTCGAGATGAATTCACTTTGAAACGAAACATCTAGATCTGGTAAGATTATCATAGCTGGCAACCTACAATCAGTAATGTCAATTAAATGAGTGCTTAGGGCACTATATTTCCACCTGGTGTTTCGAGGTCAAATTTTGCTTTCTGCTCATTCTATCACGTAGACATTTTAAAAGGAATCTTTCATCAAAGGTGGCTGACGTCGTTTTCTTACGTTGGTGTACCTGGTGTGGTGTGATTGTGAGAGTGGTTTGTCTAGCCGGTTCAGTAACCGCATGTTCACCAGCTGGCTTGGGCGACTAACAGGAATAAAGAGGCGCCATCAACACCGGGAAGGTATACATTCAATCACCAGGTGTCGCCCAAAACTAACCTTGGCCTTACTTGATTGTTATCTTTCTCTTTCTTGGGTCTGGGTGATGTGTAGAATGCGATTCGCACCAATCTGTCACTCCACAAGTGTTTCGTGCGATACGAAGACGACTTCGGTTCATTCTGGATGGTGGACGATGCCGAATTCGTGAAGCGGCGCCACCTGTCACGTGGTCGGCCACGGAAATATGACCCGACCCCGTCACCCACTCCACCCCACTGCGCACAGTAAGCACCATTTAAAAAAAAGAAAGAACGTCACGTCATCGGTCCTGCTGTGCCTATGTGCCGCTGTCTGTGCTCGGCTCGGCTCGCTCTGCTTGGCTCGTTGCTCATGCGCAAGCGCGGATGCAGGGCTGATTGTCAGTTAACAGTGCCAACTCGCAGAATATCGCATTTTTTGAGTGGGGGTGGAAACGTGTGGTAGGGCTTTGTAGGTACGCCAACTCGAAAGGTTTTAGCTCATTATGCCTTATTGTTCATCACGTCTTGGTCAGGCAAAGAGGATATTAGCAGTTTAGTATACCTACGTTCCTACGTTTCGATCTTCGTCCATTAGATTCAGTGCTAGATCGTGATATACGTGGAGTAGCTGAATTTCGAGTAACAGGTTCAAAGAAAGTTGATTTGGAATGAATCCAATGGGCGAAAATTGAAACGAAGTCAACAACTTTTCTAAAATGAATCTCAACTACGATTGTTTGTCTTTTTTACCATGGTTTCATGATGGTACAATAACTACACTGAAACCTTTGAGTAAGCGTGCCTATAGGACCCTATCATTCTTTTTTATTCCCACTCGTATAAAAGTCCGGTATATTTTATCTTCGAGGACATCATTGGTATCTCGAAAACTATAGGAGATTCGAATATGGTTGTACTAGGACAAACTTGCGATTTATGTGAATAAAAATATGCCGCCGAGAACATTGTCAAATTCCGAAGATATACAAAAAAACAGAAATTTTGGCACATCATTTTTACTGTTGTCTAGCGTTATTTGTTGACAAGACATCAAGCATGCACATATACATTGCCATTTTTTCCTTGCTATACGATGACATTTTCAGATTCACCATGCTATTATAATTAATGAAAATCCATTATGCTGCCCACAAGAAAAAATGAAGTTGATGATGGTGGCGTAACGACAAAACATGAAAACGAAAATGTAGGAAAAAGTAGCAATGTGAATGTGCCATCAATTTTGATATTCTTCAACAAATGACGCCAGAGGAAAATAAGAATGATTTACCAAAATTTCCGTTTTTCAATTCGTATATCTCCGGAAATACTCGGAATTCAAGAATTTTCTCGACAGCATATTTTTAGTCACATGAATGCGCAACTTTGGCCTAATTTAACCATCTTCGTTTCTCCTATAGTTTCCGAGGTCCCAATAGTTGCCCTCGAATTTGAATTACCCAGTATATGATATAATTCGCTCTGAAACATTACCAATAGTTTCGCTCTTCGGAAATAGGAATGATCATCAGGTTATAAAGGTCTTTGTTTGAGTACCAGAAAACAAATTCAACAGCAAACAATATTCCGTTACGATTCCGAAACCCGATATTTGGGAAAAAAAGTTTTTATAATTTCCCATAACTTGCTCAATAAAATTGAATTACATACCTACTCGGGGTTATTTTTTAAATTTGTAGGAGTAATAATTAATAAATATGGAATAATTGAATATTATGACCTCTGGACCCCAATATATTCAGGGAGGGTCAGAATGAGACGAACAAACTTCGTTACCAGATGGTCAAAGAAGATTCTATCGACGCGTGTTCTCATATGCATCTGAGAAATATTATGACGTTGGTTGCAAAATATTTCCATATGTCGTGAGAAATCACTAGCGTGTTATCTATGTGGTCACATTCGCAAGATGGCATCTCATCGCCCCAGAATTGGTTCCACTAATAGGTGTAGGTCTCGCTCTTCCTAATCCTGCAAGTTTCGACTTGTGGGGTGCTGGTTTCCAAATTCGAAATAGCGATATACAAAATGTTACAAAATATACAAAAATCAGCATTTTAGGATAACGACATACAGAGATTGAATCAACTACTCATCGATGTAGAAGTTATGCAACTTCGACTCACTCAGTCATATCAATTAAGTATAGAAATTTCGACAATTACCAACCCCAAAGAGAACAGACAGAGAAATACAAAGTAAAATGAACATTTCAGTTATTGATAATTATGATGATATTCTGGTAGAAGACACGTTATAACCTGTTTGGTCTCAAAGGTTGGGAGTGTTTTTTTTGTAGAAATGTAGCTTCCATATCAGCAGATCAGCACTTATATAGTTTTGGTTAATTTTCTCCTTCCTTCACTTCCGATCAAGGTAAAACTACTCTGAAAAAATAGTTTATCTCATTGATACATGTTATATTTCACTCCGACAAACCACTGGACTTGTGGAATCATACATAAATTCCACGGTCGGACTTGGAACTATATAGTCAATTTCAATACTGGAAGGTATTCGCCTTCAGTTGACTAATTTAATACTAACTTCGAAAATTTGAGAATTCCCATGTATCCATGATTTGATCACTCGATGAACGATGGTCCTTTTTGTAGAATGATTTGAAGTCTGTCAAATGGCACAGTTATATAACAAATACATCAACCAATAAGAATATTTTCGGATCATCTTATCATCAAATGGGAATTATGAATTAGAGTTCATACAAAATACTGGGTCATTCCGAATATGGAGCGATAAATAAAATGAAGTGTTGTACACTAACCAGCAAACAAAACCGGCCTGCAAAAAAATTTGCCAAATTGATCATCCTTTTTTGTTTCTTTTCCGATTTGGATGAGATTCTGACCAAATCGTAGAAGTATGTTTGGAAATGGTGACCCAGATTGTAGTTCTCAGAAAGAGCTGACGGCTTGATCATACAGGGAAAAACAAAAGTTACCTCAACATGTTTGGATTGAAGTATAATCCCTTCTCGATACAAAGGTTTTTCTTCTTTTTTAACTTCTTTTCAAGAGGAGATACATATGGCTACATATGGGAAACTTTTTTATTATTGGTTTGTACGAAAAAGTTATTCCCTATAAATAGTTCTGTATAGCCTAAAAGCGCGAATGCAAATATGAGATATTCGATTTTTCCAGTTGTATACGAGGTAATTGAAAGTATACCTTAATTTTTGACAATATCAAGAATTATTATTAGAATTGAAAACTACGTCGAAATATCTAATTACATCTATCTTCGATGAAAATCTGTTTTTGCTTTTTCTCAAAATTTCTAATCGATTCATATGGAAGACTTTTTTATTATCAGTTTTTCGGAAAAAAGTCATTCTTCATTAATAGTTCTGCAATGTATAAAACCGAGAATGCAAACATCAAATTTCGATTTTTTTTTCAATCATCTGTCGAAAAATATTAAATAAATTTTGAACAATAATGAAATCTGATTTTCTACGTAGACAGACGTTATTAGATATTTTCACGTAGTTAATATTTTTAATCAACTTTTTCCGTTAACAATCTTTTATACTGTCTAAAGTAAAGGTATTTTAATCTTGAACACAATTAATGTTTTTTGACATACCCATACAAACCATACCATACATACAAATAATAAAAAAAATATATATAATAATTATCGCATCTTCGATTTTAGTCGTGCAGAACTTTTTATGAAGATTAACTAACTGTTTTTCGTAAAATTCATAGGTAATAAAAAAGTTCCCCAGATGTAGTCATCTCAACTAGAAACGCTGTATATTAGAATGGTACTAATGATTAGTGAAATTATATTATCTGGAAATGGCACTGTTTAGCTGAGCGATCAGCCTGAACTAAACACTACACGATGACAAACAATACAATTAAATCAGTTTAGAATAGAGGAAAAATTAGGTGCGTTAGTGATTTTCTTCATTAGATGCATTATTTTGTTTTGTAAACATTTTATTTACTTATTACTGGAGTTGAATACATGTAGACGTTCAGAGCAAGACACAGACACTTCACACTATTCTCAGTAGCTTATGCTTCCTCCCAAAATCCTGCATGAATAAATCCTCTCGAAGTTCATAAGGGTTATTATTTGCATTTTTGTGAAACGCCGAAATACTGGAATATTAGTAAATAGGCAACCACACAATCCCTATCAAGCCCCTTGTTTTCTCAACTTTTCATCTTTCTTTTTCTATATCTCTTCAATCTCATTCGAAATTTCTTCTTGAAAACCTCCTTATTGATTTAGTC